TGTGTCCTTCTGGGTCAAAATCTCAAATTCCTGCAACACAAAAAGAGGCGGGTTTATTCAGCAAAGATAAAACGGAGAGAGAAATAGCAGCAAGAATAAAGCCTGTGTTGTAGAAGTCTGGGGCAGCGGGCAGGTATTATCGCCGATAAATGAGGGTTACAAAATATATAAAGCGCTGACAGGGAAGTGTTGTGGCGTTCAAGTGTGGTTGTGAATGTGTGCGCGTCTGTGTGTGATTTCAGAGTCAACAGCTACTGCTGAGAAATGGACAAGGGTCTTGTTTTACTCATAATCTTTTCAGAGCAAAGCTTTTTCTCTGTCCCATATAATAGCCCACACTGGGGTGCCAAGGGCATCTGACACTCTCCAAAAGCGGCCTCACACAGCACTTATGGTGATGCTGCCGAGGACACGCTGATAGATGCTAGTATGCTAGTAATGGTAGTAAGTCGCAGGTTCAGTATTCAAAAGGGAAGTTTGTTTTTCTGAAAGTCCTTACTGTAGCACTTAGTATTATTGATTGATTTTGTTTATTTATTTTCTTTAGGCTTTTTGTCACTTTAATTGATAAACCTTTTTTTCTTTACCTGTTTTTTCTTGTGAAAGTCATGTGGAAATAATGTAGCTATTAAAGGAATAGTTCAGTCACAAATACATTTGCTGAAAATGTACTCACCCTCAGGCCATCCAAGATGTAGATAAGTTTGTTTCTTCATCGAAACAAGAAATTTGCTCACCAATGCAGTGAATGGGTGCCGTCAGAATGAGAGTCCAAACAGCTGATAAAAACATCACAATAATCCATAAGTAATCCACACCATTCCAGCCCATCAGTTAACATCTTGCGAAGTGAAAAAATGTGTTTGAATGAAACAAATCCAACTTCGAACCATTGCTACCAGACAAAATATGAGTGTTTTATTCATAATAACGCTTCTTTCAGTGAAAATGTCCACCCCTTGTTGTCCTCTCACATCAAAATCAATTAATTTAGAATTGTTTTAGACAGTTTTTTTTTGCTTGGTCTGTGCGTATTTTTCTCCTGATTCAGATGAGACCACTTTTTCACTGGAGAAAGCAATATTATAAATTATAGCAAATATTGATAGACTTATTATAATATGATAGATTTGTTCCTTACAAACACTATTTTTTGCTGTTGATTGATGGACTGGAGTGGTGTGGATTACTTGTGGATTATTGTGATGTTTTTATCAGCTGTTTGGACTCTCATTCTGACGGCACCCATTCACTGCAGAGGATCCACTGATGCAATGTTGAATTCGTCCAATCTGTTCTGATGAAGAAACAAACTCATCTAAATCTTGAATGGCCTGAGGGTGAGGAAATTTTCAGCAAATTTCTGGGTGAACTATTCCTTTAATGTTTACATATGGTACATTGTTTCATATTATTTTCTTACTCATTTTTATTTATTTATTTATTTGCTGAATTATTTGCATTCCAAATACAGTTTTAATGAGAATGATGCTTCTGGGTGACTAGTTTAGGACTAGGAAATATGGGCATTTTAACGCTGTTAAACGCTCCCCTGATTATCTATCATTTACAATGCGTCATTTTGTGCTGTTTTCAGAGAGTACATTCTGGTTGTCCAGTTTTGCGGTAGCACTTGAAATGTTGTTGTAACGTTATTTCTGAACTTATGAGCACTTTCATGCTATCGGCTGATCGTACCTTGATTCTCCACAGTAATGGCTAGCATTGCTAACAATAGTTTGCAGCAGGTTCATGCACTTCAAGTCAAATAAAACCGTGTTTCTATGTTTATTCATGAAAGCAGCTTTAAATGCAGAAAGGTTTTTTCTTTTCAAGATTGAAATGACTTGTTTCAAAAGAGCTTTAGTCTGAAGCTTTTTCTTTAACTATCATCAAAACATTCACTAGCTTTAGCTACTTCAAATAAGCTAGCATTACTTTTTATTCGTTTTTTTTTTCAAACGACAAGGATAAAGGATAGATAAAAAATGAAAATATCACCATTTACTTACCCTCATGTCATTTCAAACCCATATGTGTTTATTTCTCATTTGCATTTTGAGTGAACTATATTTGATTTTGATTTTTAATGACACTAGTTGCTTGCGACTAGTAATCAGCTGATTACATAACTACAAAAAATGAGTTCTTTAGATTTGAAATGATGAATGGTGAAGTGGTATTTAATAACATTCACCTCAGTATTGCTTTCCTCCATTTGCATAGAAAGCTTTGCATGTGTGTTTTTGTCGATCGTGTGGCACATCGTGTACCTGCGTATCTACAGCAACAGCCAGACTCCAGCTTCCTTCACTGTGTGCAGAATGTGCCGTACCATCTCTCGTCATGGCAACAGGAGCGTGGCATAAAGGGAGTGATAGAGCTGCCGTCCAATTCTATGCGCTTTAAAAAATAACAAGTGCGTTCCTGCTGCAATTAACTGTTACGCCCCGAGAGGGTCCTGAGGGGGTCACGAATCTAGTATGCAACAGTGAGCTGAAAGTTGTTTCTGTAGAATTATATCATCCACATAATTGGCAATTTTCAATTCAATTCCACCTGCTAAATTGGAGTGTGAATACGCACAATAGCGGCCGGCTATTGAATGAAGACTGAATCACATCTCTGCTAACCTGAATGATGGTTCAGTCCATTCTGTTCCATTTTTATACAGTAACTCAATGCTATTGTGTTGGCGGTAGAAAACTTGCAGCTCTCTGGAAATTTTGTGTGGGTGAGGCTCCTTTTAAACGCGTCTGAATGTACTGTATGTTTGTAGCACAATGACCTATTCACATTGTATTGCACCGAATATGAAAATATGTTTGTATGTGTACGAGTACTTATTTATTTATACATGAAAATGTAGGAAAGAAATGTCAAAAATAGGATCTCTTAATAATATCCAGTTTTTTTCCTAGAAAGCAAAAAGAGACTCATAAGAAAAATAATTTTCGTCTCCTCTAGAGATTTAGAAGAGACTCAAATTTATTTCAAGAAATAAATAAATAAACATAAAATACTTCTCATCAAATAATCTTTTCCTTTCATATTTATATACCTCTATACTTTTATATTATACAATTGTCCAATTTGTTATAACTAATATAACTTAATATAAAAAATATAAATATGATGCAATTAATAATAATAATAATATTTTTTATTTATATAGCGCCTTTCCAAAACCCAAGGTCAATTGTAAGTAAATATTAAATAGTATTAAATCAAATATAACTAATATAAAAAATATAAATATGATGCAATTAATAACAATAATAATAATCATTTTTATTTATATAGCGCCTTTCCAAAACCCAAGGTCAATTGTAAGTAAATATTAAATAGTATTAAATAATAACAAATATCAATAAATATAGCTTAAGTTTCCTGAGCTATGAAAGAGCAACTTTTGAGCAATAATATTTTACACAAAATAAAAATATATTAAAATTCATTTAAAAACGGAGACTTAATATCTTCAGATTTTTTCATTAAAAATATAACTATCCCTTTAATGTGATTATTAAACTTGGGGAAAAATACTGGGAGATATAATTGTCTGCACATATAATGTTAGTCTAGTTTTTTTTGTTTTGCACTAAAGGCATTCATAATTTAGTTCTACAGTTTTTATGGTCTTTTGTCTTTTTAACTAGTGTTACTGTAAGACTTCCATATGTTAATGAGCTTTGATATGATTGGCTGATGTCTTTCCATGTGAACTATTAGGTTTGCATGCACAGGTATATACTCTACAGGTTAAAAGTTTGGGGATTTTTTATTTTTTTTTAATTATTACAATTTAAAAGAACTGTTTTCTAATTGAATATATTTTAAAATGTATTCCTGTGATGCAAAGCTGAATTTTCAGCATCATTACTCCAGTCTTCAGTGTCACGTGATCCTTCAGAACTCGTTCTAATATGCTGATTTGCTGCTTAAGAATAACTTTACTATTAACATTACTATCAATGTTGCGAACAGTTGCGCTGCTTAATATTTTCCTGAAAACTGAGATACTTTTTTCAAGGTTCTTTGATGAATAAAATGTTAAAAACAGCATTTATTTCAAATAGAAATCTTTTGTAACATTATAAATGTCTTTACATTCACGTTTGCTCAGTTTAATGTGTCCTTGATGACTAAAAGAAAGAAAAAAAAAAAAGACTGACCCCCAAAACCTTTGAACTGTAGTCTGTGAATGTGCTTTTGTTTGTCACCTTATAACCAAGATGATTTTTGCAGTTTATATTTTCCATAGTAAACTGTAAAACTTTTTATTTCAGAAAACCAAAATAGTGTCACATTTAATTCAAGACTTTTTATTAACCTTGTGTCAAATCGCCTAAGATTGTGTCCTAAAATTTCGTTAGCGTTTTAAATGTTTTGCGATTGGCTGACGGAATGATAACAGTTATGTGCACGCATCATTCGATAGGATGTCTTGTCATTTTTATTTCAATAATATTTCCCTTAATAAGTTCCGCTAAAGTGTTTTGATGAGTTTTAGTTCTTAACTAATTCCAGAGGCCAAAACGACTTCTCATTAATGAGGAAGAGGTGTGAAATTTCTTCTCTTTCTGTGTCTGTCAACCTCCGTTCAGCAGTGTTGCTGCTGCTGATTTAATAGTTTCATATAAAAGACATTTTCATAGGCTCGGCGTCAGCGCCCGTCACCCCGTCCTTCGCGTCTTATTGAGCGTATCTATATGTCCTCCGCCGGGGTTTGACCTAGGCTAATTAACTTCTCAAAAGATGAATATTGCATTGATTTCGAGCCCCGCTAACGAGGACACGCGTGTATCGCGCTATTTGTCGTGAGTGGCAGCGTGCTTTGTGTGGCGCAGGGCGCGTGGTAACTGGGTAATGGGCTTAATTAAAATGAAAGGCTGCTGAATCGCTCCTGTTTACAAAGGCAGGGAGCCAGACCCCATATCTGCTCGCAGACGCACAAACGCCGTCTATAGCGAGACTCCGGCTCAAAAGAAGTTTAATGGATTGACCCCATATTGGTCCGCGCCCCTTTCTTTCTCAGCTTCAGGAGAAAATGCTCCTTTATTGTTCGCGTTCGCTTAAGTGAGAGCAATTTATCGCCGACAAAAGCTGCTTTTCATAATAAGAGTGCCTGAGGGCTGTGTGTGTGTGTGTGTGTGTGTGTGTGTGTGAGTGTTTGTATCTGTGTGCGTTCAGAAAGTGCTTGAAAACCCATTTTCTACTCATGCGGTCTTTATTGAGACTATGTTGCTGCATCTCTGTGTTATTTTAGTACCATTGATATACTGTTATAGTTTTTGTTCATATTTTGAATTAGATTATATTTTCATATTTTCTGTTTTCACTTTAGTTTTAGTTAAAGTTTTGATAATTGATTGTTGTTTTTTTTACATTTTTATCAGTTTTTGTTTTGTTTAAAAAATATGTATAGTATTTATTAATTTTATTTCGTTTTAGTTAGGCTCTTTTGCTTCAAACTCAAAATAGCAACTAGCTGAAATGAGCTAAAATGTTTATTTTTATGTCGATATAGGCTAGTTTTTAATAATGTTTATTTATTAATCATTATTAATCATTTTTGTTATTTTAGTATAGGCCTAAGCAAAAATCAGCAATGTTACATTGAAAAATAACTAAAATTGTTATTAGTTTTTAAAAATATGTCTACATAGTATTTATTCATTTTCATTTATTAGTTTTAGTTCATTTAGTTTTAGTTATTTTAGTACTTCAACTTAAACTAAACAAAAATGAAATATGTTGCATTGGCAACTAGCTGAAATTGTTATTACATATGCCAACATATATAAAATATATATTTTATTTATTAGTTTTAGTTTATTTATTATTAAACTAAACCAAAAATCAGAAATATTGATTTTGCAGCTGATTATTATTATATATTTTATATATTCTTATTTTATTATTACTTTTGTCAGTTTTAGCTTATTTAGTTTCAGTTATTTTAGTACTTCAACTCAAAATGAAATGAAAATAAGAAATGTTGCCTTGGCAACTAGCTGAAATAAAGTTGAATTTTTTGTATTTTATTTTATTTCAGTTAACATTTTTTTATTAATATTTTGTGTACAATTCATAAATATGTATTTTCTTTCTATATTTACATTATAATGTAAATGTTTTTATGGTTTTAGTTTTAGTTAATAACCCTGCTGCCCTGCTCTCTCTAACTGCAGATGTGAAGCTGTTGGAAAACCAGCCTTACGTGGAGAGCATGTACGAGCAGGTGAACGCCGCGCTGTTGGAGTACACACTGTGTGCGTATCCACAATTCCCAGACAGGTTTAGCCAGATTCTGCTGCGCTTTCCTGAGCTCAGAGCACTCAGCACACAAGCTGAAGACTACCTGTGCTACAAACACCTGAGCGGAGAGGTGCCGTGCAACAACCTCCTCATAGAAATGCTGCATGCCAAGAGAACCTGCATCTGACACACACACACACACACACACACACACACACACACACAAACACACACACACACACACACATTTCCAGGCCCGATTCCTTTGCAGATGACACTGTTATTGACTATATGTTTTGCAGCACACAGAAAACCTCATCAACCATGCCACTGTGTTTCTGAAAGGAAAGAGGGGAGATGTCAGTGTTATTGACTGTGCTGCGGTGATGACGTATTTTTGTAGGCCAAACAAGAAGTCAGCATCACCCTGGTTCCTTTGACAAAAACCCAATACAATTTTTCTATTGGTTTTTGCAGAAAATAAGCTCTGTGATTCTTACACATTTTATTCACAAATGAACAACAGTTTGAAGCCTAAATACAATCACTTGAAGTAAAAAGCTAAACGCAGTCTATACACAAGCTACATGACTTCAGCTCTTTCAGTCCTTATTTTAAAAAACATTTTCCTTGAGAGTTAGAATACTTTGCAAGAGTGCAGTTACAAACACAGTGAGGCTGTGAAAGCGGCTAGTGAGTAGATGAGTTAACTTGCTCGATGTGACGACCTTGAATGTCCTCAACAATCTCTGTAGTCCCATTTAGCAAATAGTTAGCCAGCACCTTTTTCAATCAAAAGGGTATTTTATGTTGTAGAATAAAACATGAAAATATATTGAGCTTGTGTTCAATACAGACTTTATTTCAGGCATTCATCCAAAAGCCCATTTAAAAACCCATTGACTTCAGAACGATGGAACAGAAAATGCTACGTAAAATGCTTGTTTCCAGGATTTGGCCTACAAAAATACGTCATCTCTTCAGCACTCTATTTAAAAAAGCAACAGATTGTGCCTTCCCTCTCAACACACACGCACACACACCAAGAAGCACTTATTCTTTTTTTTCTTTTTTTTTAAATCAGTAATCAAAAGATAAGGTGAGGCACAGTCACAGCCAAGAACCGTCCACTTAGGCTACGTTTACACGACAACGATGTAGTCAAAAACGGAAAAGTTTTTCTCTTGCGTTTTAAAAAAGTTTCACGCATACACGACAACGTTTTCAAAACGATTCGCGTTTACACATATCCGCGAAAACGGCCAAAAATGCTGTATTACGTATGCCAGGCCAGTAGTTGGCGCTGTCACCTTGTTAGTAAACAGTACCTGTAGGGAAGTGACGATTAAATGTTGTATATGATACGTCTCCGCTGTTGGTTGTAATATTGGTGAAGTAAATCCACACTTTGCTGAAGAAGCGTTAGCAAACTCTTGAGCAGCAACAACAGTACCATATACTCCGCCATTGTTGTATATATTTGTTCGCGCTTGCCTTTAAAATCGACACGTACTGAGTATGTCTACATACCTAACACGTACTACGCACGCGCATGACGTCACCGTTTTCAAAGATTCCCGTTTTGGGTGTTTACATGGAAACGATAACGGTAGCATTTTCAAAAACTTGCACTTTGAAACCCGTTTTCAAAAATATGCGTTTTCAGTCCCCAAAACGCCATTGTCGTGTAAACGAACAGGCAAAACGCATAAAATGTTTCCCATTTTTGGCTGAAAACGTTGTCGTGTAAACGGCCCCTTAGACAGGAAGCGGCAACATGTCTGTCATGACAAATGAGGTATTTCAATAATTACAAACTAAAGCACAAATGAAACGATAAGCTGAAATCTAATGATTTCCTCAAGAGAGGCCAGTAAACGAGCTAACCAACCTTCATTAACATTCCCTTTTTAAGATGGAAAGCGAGAGGGAGAAACAAAGAAAGAGGGAAGGCCTCATTCAACACAAAGTACACCCATAATAGCTCTGCCATAAAACCTAGTGAGCTGCCTACATAGACAGCATCATATACGCTTCTTATGAAATGTAATCTCAAGGCAGCACACTTTTGAACAGAGCTCTTTATGCCTGTATTAATCAGACACCGCACACTTAAACACCAGAAGATTGTATGTTTAAAAAGAGCCGAGTGTGTGTGCATATGCTGAGGAAAGGGGAGGTAAATTAGGACTTGCAATTCTGCCTTAACACTAACACTGTTGATCCTGTGAAGCTGAGAGAATCAATGGGCATAAATAACTATTCAGATGTGTTTGTGTCTCTATGCGTTCTAATATGTGAGTGTGTAAGAGAGTGTTTGTGTGTGTGCGACTTATGAAATGTCATCTCAATATTAAGCCCCTCTCAAGCTTAGGCCAAGCTGATTATGATATCTCAGCATGTTTCATTTTTGTATAGTGGAGTGTCTGATTGGTCAAGTTCTCTTTCATGTAACATGTTTGTGTTAATGACATTTGTTATGAATGTGCTTAACTGTGTTGTTTCAAATGAATAAATACAAATTATTTAAACCAGATATTAGTTTCCCAGGGCGTGGGTTTGATTTTGGCATTGGTGGGGACATTTAATTGTTTGATCAAAATTATTGCTAGGGATAATTTAGTAGTCGCTGGATATTGGTATGGACATGTCATAGTGTCCCTACTAAATTATATGCCCTTGAAAATCATAACAAGCGATGTCTGACTTTGGAAACTATAGTTCTCTCCTTAAATACAAAGAAGTCAAGCAACAGATGAATGAGTTAATCCTAATTTCACCAAAAAAGCTTATAGACACAATTATATGTCAGACATTGAAGTGAGTTGCAGTTTTTGCCACTCTTCTGAGGAAGACGTCATTCACTTGTTTTGGCAATGTACCCATAGAGGAATTTTGGTCAGATTTTTTTTTATGTTAAATCTCATCTTGTATGTGACTTTTCTGTTTTAAAGATGTTTTCTTTGGATTGTTTGACTACTCGAAAGAGAATAGGCTATAGGAATATATCAATTAATTTGTGTTTCCTGCTAGCTACATTTCACATACAAAAATCTGGCTCTAAACCTCTCTTTTCTTTATTCAGAGTTGATCTAAACAAGTACATGGAAACTATCCAAAGTTCTGCAATCAAAAGTGCACCTCTATAATATACTCATCCTATTCTTACGGTGAAAAAAGGTTAGGCTACTATAGAGTTAAACCATGGTTTTGCTACACTAACCATAGTTTAATCATGGTACTTGTAGTAGGCTAAACTACAAAAAAAAAAAAAAAGGTTTCTACACTTTTACTGTAATAAAACCATGGTTAATTTCCTTAAGGGATTTGTATTTGTATGTTTTCTCTTTCTTTCTTTTTTCTTTGTTTTCTTTTTATAACTGTACTGCCTTAATGGTTTGATCTTTTGTACTGTTTAATTAAAAAAAAAAAGAAATCAGTACCTGCTCTGAAGTCCTGAGCTGAATCAAAAGATTCACGAATCCGCTCCGAGGTCCTGATCTGAATCAAATGATTTGCGAACCCACACCGATGTCCTGATATGAATAAAATGATTTGCGATCCGCGAAGTCCTGATTCGAATCAAAAGATTCACGAACCCGCTCTGAATTTCTGATCTGATTCGCGTTCTGCATTCCAAAGTTCTGACCTGAATCAAAAGATTTGCGAACCCACTCAGTAGTTCTGTTCTAAATCAAATGTTTCGCGATATGCGTTCCGAAGTTCCCATCTGAATCAAAAGATTCGCGAACCATCATTTCAGATTGGGACTTCGGAGTGTAGCTAGATTGTGAATCATTCCATTCACGAAATGATTTGCGAATCTGCTCCGAAGTTCTGATCTGAATCAAAAGATTCACAAACCCGCTCTGAAGTTCCGATCTAAATCAAATGATTCGAATCACAATCTACGCTCCAAAGTCTCGATCTGATTAATGATTCGCAAACCATCATTTTCAGATTAGTTTTGTGTAGGCTATTTTTTACGACTTTGGAGCCCCCTAGAGATAAGCGAGAAATTCACTGTCGTAAATATACAGTACGGTGGCCGAGAAGTGCAGGGCAAATCACAATTCTGAAAACAAATAATGTTTTCTGAATTGTTGTTGTGCTTTCTGAATTTTTATTTTGTTTTTTAGACTTGCATTTACGTTTGTAATTTGTTATTTTGATTTCAGAATTGTGATTTGTTTAGCACTTCTCGGTCACCGTAGTATCACTGTCGTAATTACAGTGGGTAGCTGTAATGCTGCGTTCAAGTCCTCCAGGGACGTTCGTACTTGCGAGCTGACAAGTCGTAATAACGACTTCAGGTGCGTTCAAGTCACTTTGGTCGGAACACTATGGCGATTGAACTTTTTTTCCATAAAATTCAACGATTTTTTAAACTTTACATCTACAAAATGATGAATAAAGAATGTGCGTCATTGTGTTTTTGCTTTTTTCTGTTTTTATTTAATTTATGAAGGCGATGTAAACTGAATCATTATATGTTCTTTGGTAATTATACAATAATATAATATTTTGTATATGTAACATATAGTTTTATTTTACATTACAAAAAATGTATCATTTTATTAATTTCAACAAATTTACCATCAATACAGATGCTGCATATCTAGTCTTTGGATGCGTCCATTGCATCTGACAAGTTTTCTCACTGACACGTCCCCAACTCAGAAACTCGGGGCTTAAAGAAAATTTCGAGTTTCCCACTCGTAATAACGACTTTGTGGTGGCGTTCATGTGCGTTCAACTCGTAAATACGATCTATCCGACATGACTTGAACGCACCATACGCCTGTACTTGTTGCCGTAAAGCAACCCGCCCATTTCGCAGAATTTCGTATCCCCTAGCCAAACTAGCCAAACTTTGGAGGGTGAGAAAGAAACGTGATTTATAAGTGTACCAACCATAGGCGGAGCGTGTGTACGGCCGGGGAAGGCTTAGCAAGTTGGGGCAAAAATGCCACTAAATTGGACAAAAATGCCCCTGCACAAACAAATTAAATCTATTACGACTGTTGCTAACAAAATAAAAATGAATAGAAAGTGTCGATTACGGCATTAAATTAAGATCTGCTCATGTTGTACCGTATTTCATTTTAGGCGTTTTTTTTTATAGTGTTGCGCATTATAACCAATCACACACGATTATGTTGAGCTTAGGAATGCAATGGCCAATCAGAGGCATTCAGATGAGTCATCGCTGAAACACATCAGTTTTGAGTGTGCACGCGTTCGCTGACTGAATTCCGGACGCGCAGATGTATGTAGGCTACAATGTAAGTAAGAGATTAATTTAACAGTGTAGACAGCTTAAGTGATTATAACGATAGGTTTTGTTTGTGCTTAAAGGGGTCATATGATGCTGCTAAAAAGAACATTATACCAACAGAATGATTTTGGAACTAAAATATTATAAACTAAAATAAACTAAGATATAGGGTTAGGGTTAGGGTTAGGGTTAGGTACAAGGTACTGTAAACCTACAGTACTTACAGAAGTTTGCATTAGATAACACTATAAAGCTATAGCATTTCAAACATATTTATCATTTAAATGATCATTTAAAGCCACCAAAGCATTTTCTGTGAAGTTTTGCTTGAAAACTGAGCTTATGCTGTCTTTTTTTTTTATTATTAATGTTGCATAGTTAGATTTTATTTATGCAGTGATATTTCATTTTTAAGCATGACTTAACTGTCCACATTCTTTTCACTAAGAAAA